TGGAATAACTACTTCTAACATGGGAAAGGTTGAATTCATTAGGCCGTAGTATAGTAATATTAAATAAATTTATAGTTTAAAACTTTTCTAAATGCCTAGTAAAAAAAACTAGTTTCTCGTGCCCAATTCTAATCAAGTCCCTGAAGCATCCTTTTTGTTGTAGTCAACTTCACTTGTCTGTTATTGACTCCCCAGGTGACTCTAGGGGAAGAGATTGCCCAAATGTTGCTTCTTCTCACCAGCAAAATAAGAGGAATATCCAGTCCACTGGCTAGTAACCCTAAGAGTGAAAAAGAATAAAATTGTAAACTGCCCAATTTTACATGAAATTGTCTTCTACCTTAGGTCTACAACTTACTCCAAAAAATAAGAAATTTACTAAGTCAGTTAAGAAATGAGTAAAATGAAAAGTTGGAAAGATAAACACAATTTGCAGGAGTCAAGTATGCATGGCCCAGAAGACCAGGAAGGAGTCAAAAGCTGTAGTGAAGGTACCTGATCTCCCAGGAGTGTGGACTGAAAAGCCAACCTAGATAAGTATTTTGGAGTAAAAAGGAAAACTGAAAAATAGAAGGGAAGTTTAAAAAGCTACCTGTACCTTAATAAACTTTCCATCAGTCTTTAAAATTACAGTTGTTTTTGACACTGAAACCCAGATCTCCTTGGCTGCATTTTGAGTTCTCCAGAGTTTTTATCACTGCTGTCTAGAATAGCAGGAGAGGATATAAAAAAAGATGCTATCATACAGGAAACCAAATAAATCAATTTTTTGATGGCATCTACTACCTTTAATGTCACAAGAGTAATAACAGTAACTTTATACTCAATAGATAACTCCATACTGATGACAAGCATCTTTACAAAATTAACCATATTACCCAATTAGTTCTCTAGCAAGGTTAAATAATATAAAATTTAAAATTACTGGGTGATCAAACTACAATTACATCTATTTTGAGATTCTGAATGAACAAACTGCATGTACACTTGGTAAAAGAAAACAGGATGAGAACAGAAGCAATGAGTCAAATGGGCTACCAGAAATCAATTTTCTTTCATGGGGTGGGAGTAGGAAGAGAGGACTAAATTTACTACAATCATGAATATTGTTTAATATCAGGTTATGATAAGTATAAATCTGAAATTTCCACTGGGAATTGCTGTTATATTAGAAATACGTATATCTGTTACACAGTACATGCCCTGGGGCAAAGTTAATTGCAGGAAATTTCACAAGTAACTCCCTGTTCCTCACCATATTATATAGTAGCGGTGTTGAAACAAGTTTTGGTTGCCAGGCTAAGTCTTTTGCTTCTCAGTTGAATGTTTGTGTTAACATGCCAACTTTCTATTAGTCGGTTTATATTAAGTTAGGTTTTTTGTCCTTTGAACTAAGATTCTCTCAAGAACAGGAAACTAACTGACTCAGAATTCACCAGTATGGACTAACCTTCAATGTCAGAGACTTTAACAGTTTGTAATAAAAATTCAGTTTAGATCTCAAGATCAGATTAAGTGTAAAAGAAACTTCAAGGTCACCTGAACCAACCACCAAACCTTCCTACCAGTACTTTTAATTAACTGTACTTACCTGGCCCTAAAACTTTCCATAAAAGAATTGAATTGAATTTTCTTGAGGAATAGTTCGGGTTTGAGCAAAATGGCAAACCAAATCTCCCATGTTGAGTATATTTTTTGACTACACTCTAAAAATTTAATTTCTTCTTGGTTTCCTGCACTTACCTGTAAATGTGTCTTCCATGCTCTTGTATTATGTGACAGTGACAACTCGTACACATGTAATATGGAAATAAATGTCCACTTTGACTCACATGATTTAATTCTTGTTACTTACTAAATGCTTTGGAAGGTCACATAAGAACATACTCTAACATTTTATAGACAAGACAAAACCTTAGTCCTCAAGACAAATGCTGGGCATAGAAGCCACAGGGCATAAATCTGCAAAGAAGTAAAAAGCTAAGCTTTTCAAACAATATGGCTTCTCTCTCACTTACCAACTTTACATTTCCCTGTATGGCCCCAGAAGATGACTGGTTAGCCAGAGACGGGTAAGATTCCTCAAGGGAGGAACAACCTAAGACAGGCACAGTCGCAGGGGGGCCATCAGGTGAGAATTTGGGGATCAACAGAGGTGAGGCTCAGAACCTCACCCCCCCTGCTTTGAGAGAAATCTTCTGCATCCGTGGATGTCTTGCTGCCCTTGTCTAGCCTGGATTAATACTTAGTCCATAGGCACACACCTGATCATCTGATCATCTACATTTGCCTTCTTACAGCACTAAACTATGTTTTCTACCTTTATCTTGCATCTACCTACCACTTCAGCATTTTATTAAAAATAAAAATAATAATAATAATAGGAGAAATGTGGGATCAACATATAAATCAAGTACAAAAATCAAATGAATATTCATATTTGACCTGATGGTTTATAGGTCATATTGCATGATCAAAACCGAAAGNGATCCTCATATACCTGCTAGTGGGAATGTACAATAGTTCAACCACTTTGGAAAAACAGTCTGCCAGTTCCTCAAATGTTTAAAGGGTCAGCTTATCATCCAGCAATTCCACCCCTAGGTACATACCCAAGAGAAATGAAAATGTTATGTCCACATAGAAACATGGGCACAAATATTTTTACAGGTATAATAGCCAAAAGGTAGAACCCAAAAGTCCATCATCTAACAAATGGATATGTGGTATCCATACAATGGACTATTATTTGGCCATAAAAAAGGAATGAAGTACTGATGTATGGACAACATGGGTAGATTTTGAAAACACTGTATCAAGCAAAAAAAGCCAGTCACAAATGACCACATACTGTAAAATTCCATTTATAATAAATGTCCAGAATAGGCATATCTATAGACACTAAAGGTAGATTAGTTGTTGCCTAGGGCTGGGGAGGGAGGTCAGGGAGATAAGGGTATAATAGCTAAAGGATATGGGGTATCTTTCAAGAGGCGATGAAAATGTGGTAGTTATTATACACAACTGCAAATATACTAAAAACTGTCAAATCACAAATTTCAAATGGGTTAATTTTATGTATGTGAATTTTAATTCAATAAAGCTGTTATGAAAAACAAAATCTGTTCTGAGAGGTAAGGTACTTGAGAATCAGCAAACATCTTCCACAAAGCTTTTCTGGTCCATCGTAAAAGAATTGGTTAAACTAAAGTCTAATTTACTTTATTGTAATTGGAACCAGCTTGCAGTATTTTGTTATGTACATTTCTAAGATGTGAATGCAGTTTAAGGAAACACATCATTACATCAGCTATTCCAGGCAGCATGCCATGAGACATTTTTACCAAAAAAAAAAAAAATCTTAAAAGGAATCCATTTAATCAACGTCACAGTATATGTTCTTTCTTGTTGCCTTATCTCCTTATAAGTCGTTGTTTTCCTAAAACTACCGTGATGAACAGTACTAGGCATGATTTGTTTCACTTATCAATTCAACAAATACGTGAACCTTTATTGTACACCAGGCACCATTTTAGACATGTGTGTGTGTATATATGTGTACACGGCTCTTGTGAAGCTTACAATCTAATAGGACAAGATAAACAATAAACAAATACAGGTTTTAAAGACAGGCTTTTAGAACAGGGTGTGGTGCTATAGAGCGATGTTATTTTAAATGGAGTGGCTATGAAAGGAGGCTTCTCTGAGGAAGTGATGTTTGATGAGAAAAGAAGTTGCCAGCCACACAAGATCAGGGACCGTAACTCCAGGCAACAGTTCTTGAATGGTCAAATCAGGAGGAGGAAAACAAAAATATTAACTGTGTGCTGCTGGAGAACAACCTCCTGCTGAGGTTCCCATGTACCATTTTAGCACAAGGATGTCTGACAAGGTGACTGGTGGCTGGAATGTCTTACCTACCTTAAACAGTTAAACGGTCTCTCAACTCTTCAACAAGACAGGGCCACGTCTGATTAACCCCAACCTATGCGATCCTCCCCCATCTTCTTGTACCTCTCAACAGGTTTGTTGTCTGTACCATACTTTCTTCCAACCCATGTGCATATGAGGCACTGTGCCAGGAGTATCAGGCCTTCAAAACAAATCAGACATGCACCCCAAACTGCCCGTAAGGCAAAAAATAATCTACTAGGACAGGAAAAGGTCAGCATAAAACAACAAACACAGGGTAGGAAGTAAAAGGCCACAAAAAAGAGCTATGTAATGTAGGAGTGTCCAGAGATTACTTCCAACTGGAACACCAGGGGAGCTTCCTGGGGCCCTCAGAGCAGCGAGAGCCTGTGGTACCTGATGACTTGGACCCGTGGTAGAATAATAAACATAGTGATTTGCTGTATTCCTAATTAACTTTAAATATACTTTACAATATTTTTAGCTCCCCAACCAAGTTATATACTCAGGAAGAGAAGGCCATATAGTCCTCTCTCTCTCTCTCTGATATTTAGCACGTCACAGTATATGTGACAGAGCTGGGTAATTCACACATTGATTCCCTGGAAGAGATGAGATGTTAACTTCAGCACTGAAGGTTAGGCTAAATCATTCTTTGTTTCATAGTGAGGTTTTGGCCTTTGAAACAGATGATTCCTCAGACCTCTCAATACATCATCTCACTTCACTGAGACATTCCTAAGAGTTTTTCTAAAACTAAAAGGTATTACAGATAAAAATGTATACAACGTGCTTCTGAATGCACACACATATAAAATGTTTCTATATGTACTGGTATGCCTGCATATATACATCACTATACCTTCATTTCAGAATCTCACAAGATCATTTTAAACTTCCACTGCTAAACTAAAGTTTGTACTTGAGAAAAAAAAGTTCTTTTTTCACTTATCAAACTTCCCATCCAGGTCCTCAACATCCCTTCCCATTCCCCAAAAAATATCTTAAACCAGAGAAGAAAAGCCAAACAACATTTTTTTAGGAAGTGTCTCAAGCATCTCTAAAAAATATTCCATGGCCAAACTCACCATAGAGAGCTGTCCAAGTTTGATTAATTACATCTAGACACACAGTTCCTGACCTGAAACAGATGGGAAGAATGGCATTTTTTTAAAGATTAGAAAGTTAGTTGCAGCTTTGTGGCAACTAATTTTATTTATCAAGAAAAATATTTTTAATACATCATTTAAAAAATGATACTTTTTAGGGAAAGTATGATGAGAAAAGAATATATATATATAAAGTCTTAGTGTCTCCTCACAGATTGAAAGGGAAAAACAGTAACCATACCAAGGAGAAACCAGACAACACCTTGGCCAGATCAGGAAAATCACCAACAATCAGGGGCAGACAGATCCATGTGCCTCCTAACACAGCACACTGAGGAGAACACAATCTCACTGTGTGGTTTTCTGGCCTTGAGTGCATACTCTGAATCTAATGATAAGGAAACGTCAGACAAACCCACACTGAGGGACAGTCTATAAAATAACTGGTTTCTCTTCTTAAAAATGTCAATTTTATTATAAAATGCTGAGTTAAATGTTCCTAATTAAAGTAGTTTCAAGAAATATGACAACTAAATGTAATGCATGATCCTGGACTGGATTTGAAAGGAAAGTGAGAAAAGTTATGTTACTGGACTATGGCAGTAGATTAAAAAGTATTGCATTAATACTTAAACCTGATGACTATACTGCTGTTACATAAGAAAACATCCTTGTTGTTCGGATGACTGATACATGGAAGTATTAAAGAATAACAGAGCATGATGTATGTATATGGTATACTCACACACAGGGTTCAGGATACCAGGTGTGTGTGTGTGTGATAGCAACATTTAGTGCCCTGTCAAGGAAAAACTGCAGAACAAATAATCAAGTATCTAACAGCACCGAAACTATAAAATAGGAGGCACTGATAGCACATTTTAAAAGGAAAGAAATGGACAACTGAGATTTATTAACAGAAACTATGGTTACTCGTGTTTGCTTTATTCTTAAGAACTGAGAAATACTTTCTCAGGGCTGAAAATAGTAAATCTGTATAGTGAAAACAGATTTGTGTCTATACAAAGAGAACAGAAATGTGGAGTATTACAAATACTAATTGGGTATCAGAGGACATGAAGGATCCATTCACGACAATGGAAAAGCTAACAGTCCAATGGCAGAGTTTAACTTAAGTGGGTTAGAGTATCATATCCCTGAGATTCTATAGTTTTAAATGACCATTAATATAATCCTATCTGTTGAAAAAATCCAAAAAGATAACTGAGGCTTTTTTATAATGAAGAGAGAGATGAACTTTAAGAGCAGTTGCTGCTAAGATTTAAATATTTTAAAATAGTTACTTACGCTTCATCAATGTTGGGATGGAAAATTTTATTCATGAATCCTGTAAAAAGAGATGTTAATTAGCAGCAAAAATTACCCAGAGAACAATCTGTTTTAAAGTATTCCAGATTGGAAACAATTTCCATACTGGAAAAAGGTGATGATACCTGTAACTCCTTTCAATCTTAGCTCTTTGGCTACTAGTAAGACTATATTCTCCTGACAGTGTCATTACTTAAAACACACCAGAGTTCCGTTTTAAAAAATGAGCAAACTTTGAGAGCAGCGCAGCTTAATATACAAAATTATCATTAAAAGAAACTGTTTTCTGAGCTATGAAGGCACTCACCAAGAAAATTCATAGTACTAAATGGTTTATAACTAGGTCATGATAAAAGTTAAGAAAACTACTCTGACTCCCCTCCCAAAAGTTGTACTGTTCATTATCTAAATTTGGAGGTTCTGCATTTGCACTTCTCCTTCTCAAGCTCAGTTACTGGTATCATACTGCTACACTGGGTGCGGAACATGAATGAAGCTGTTGAAACACTAAAGCAGTACCACTTCCAAACCACGAAGTATTTCGTAAGAACAGCGACCAAAATATTTCTTTTAACTTTAGTCTACTCATTCCAGGAAACCCGTTTTGATTAAAATTGGGGCAACCAAAAAAATGAGGCAAGGAGTAAAAAAAAAAAAAAAAAAATTCTGTAAGATGTCTGTATCTGTCAGGGATTCAGGTTTTTTTATTTATTCCTAGAAAAACAAGCATAAACTTTAGCAAATACAATGATATTTAGATTCCAAGGAGCAATTTATTTACTTTCGTGCATAAAACTGGTGATCTGTTTGTATATATGCAAATGACAATATTCTAAGGCAGAGATCCACTGTCAACACCATCATTCTGTGGTCCTTATCACCTCATTTCCTTTTGAAGACTTCATATTATATTCCATACTTTGAATAAGTGAAGTTCCTTACTAAAGTGACCATCACTGTGTCCCAATCCCACCCTTGCTAACCCCCACCTCAGAAATTCCCTTTCCTTCATTCAACATATATTTGGTCAACACCTTCATGTCAAGCATTGTGCTTGTCTAGGGTACAAAATAAGTAAGACAATACACTATTCTCAAAGAGGTCACTGTGGCAGTCGAACAAGAGGCATGAAGAAATAACTGCAATGTGCACAATGGTCAGGCAAGTACATATGGGAAGAGGAAGATGTCAGGAAAGATGCAGAGAAGTGGCATCAAAGGAGGATCCTCAAGGACAAGTTACAACAAAGGTCATCTCAGAAAATATAGAAAACCTCTCTAAACATAGAAAATGGGGAAAATAATATGAAATTAAACTGCTCATTTTTGTTTTAATGTTTGTGATGAGATAGCTTAATGTTTTATTTACTCCTATCAAGAGAGCACATGCAATGTTTAAAATTACTCTGGTGTAAAAAGAAAGTCTTGTGTCCAATTACTATTTTATATTATTTTTTCATTAAGGAAATCAAAGATGCCTCAACATCTAGATTTAAGAGGTATGTGTTTATGAAGAGGTTATACTAAGCCGATAGAAATGTACATGTCTTAATGTTAAGAGGAGAAAGAGAAGCAGGATAAAAATTCTATGTGACTCTAAGAAAACACTAATATGTTTGTCTAAGACCCATGAGGATATTCATTGCAGTACTATTTATAAAAGCCAAGAACCAAAAATCAACCCTATGAAGAAACTGTGGTGCATTCACATATTAGGAGTCCTCTACAGCCAAGGTAAAGAGCTAGATCAGTTAAGTATCAAATTGGATAGTTCCAAAGCTGAGGAGAAAAAAAAGTTGCAGAGTGGTATGTTTACAGCAGGATATATCTAGCTAAACTGAAGCAAAGCAACATTACATGTTCTCTATGGTAACAACTACAGAAAATTGTACTGGACCACTATATAAAAAACTTACGGAAGTAATTATTTCAGTTATGGTGCGGGGCCAAGGACATGGTGGGCACAGGAACAGAATGGAGGATGGTGATTAGAGATGAATTTTTCTGTAACACTATATTCCTTTTAAAAAGGGGTAACATACGGTGTGGGGGGGATTATGGAGAAGACACCATAGATAAGACAAGTAGTGACTGTGGCATCTTACTACACTGATGGACAGTGACTGTAATGGGGCTTGAGGGGAGACTCGATAATATGGTTGAATGTAGTAACCACATTGCTTTTCACGCGAAACCTTCATAAGAGTGTACAATGATATCCTAATATAAATAAATAAACAAAAAATAAAAGACATAAGCAGATATTCACCTGCACCTATCTGCTCTGCTGCAGGTTTTCAAACTTTTCTTAATAGGATAATTTCCCCATTTTCCCCAGAAAAATGTCTCTTTCCTGTTTTGTCCTCTTAAATGCTGACATTAAACATAAGATCTTCTGTTTGAAAAAAAGGGGGTAACATGCTTAAGACATTATTTGCTCTGTTTTTTAAAAAGTATGCACATAGGGAACTAGAAGCAAATATAAATATGTACAACCGTTACCAGTGTTTAGCCCTTTGTGGTGGGAATATTTTCTCCATTATACTTTTCAAATCACATCACCCCCACCAGCATTTGTACAGAAATGTAAAAAGGCCAGGACACAACTAGTGTCAACAAGAATCAACTCTGAGAGACGACTCCCCCATTATTACTGCTACTCGTCAACTCTCCAAAATTTCTACAAGGTGTAATTTTAATAGTCAAAAAACAAAAATCCACTTTCAAATTTAAGTTATAAGCAGTAGCAAACATTCTAAAGTAGACTTAATCATACATAGGTTATCTAGTGTTGAACCCTTTTAAGGGAAAGAGTTATTTAAATCCACTATTTATTTAATCTTGTATCTTATATACTCTTGTTTAAATAACAAATTCATACAAAAATTAGAAGATCCTCATAAGGTACATGGTCCTCAAGATTTAGCTACACATTGGAATATGCTATCACAACTGCCAAGAACCTTTTCTGATGAGTGGGAAACATTAATTAATGTTTAGGCATATATGGTTTAATTCAAGAGACTTGTTCTATTATGTGTAAAGTATTTTTCTTGAACTACAATTAAGGACCGATTATAATTTGTTCTTGATACGTAAAATCCTGCTTCTGCTATAATTCCCCTAAGTAACACCTAGTGAAGTGACATCTATGGCAGAAGTTCCCAATGCTGCATGTCAGAAGCACCTGGAGTGTACTTTAAAAACAGAAGTGCTATATTAGAAAGTGACAAGTGTTACAGAGAAAAACACAACAAAGAAGGGGCTCAGAAAAGGAACTGCTGAGTCAGGAGCTGCAATTTTACATAGGATGCTTGGTGATGGAGGGCCTCAAAACGAAGTGAAAGGAGGTGAGGTAGGAGCCATTCAGTGTCCAGGGGAAGAGTGCCTTTGCAGAGGAACAGTCAAGTGCAAAGTGCACCAGGAGTTTGTTGATGTGCTTGAAGACCAGCAAAAGGACTGGTGAAAGGGTGGCAGGGTGAGTGAGGAGCGGAAGGCTGGACAGAAGGTCAGAGGTAATGAGAGTGGTGGGCCCTTGAAGGATGCTGGCTTTCATTCTAGGTAGGGTGGGAATCATGGAGACAAGTACTACAAAGGTTGACATATACAAATCCCTAAAATTTTTTTTTTTTTTTTAAGTCTCCTCTCCTAAAAAAGGCTTACTGTGAATGGCTGAATCAGGTCTCAGCTCCTCAGTGCTGGGGACAGGCTGTTGTCTCTCGTACAGTAAGAAAGGAGCTTCAGCAATCTGATGCCACAGGGAATCCTCAAAGGTGTTAATCAAGGAAACACAGGTAGAGTGAAACAGTAAAACTGTCTCTGAAAGATTAAGGTGCCTCCCTCCTCATAGGAAGCTTGGAGGTTATATTTGGAATCAATATAGTTTCCACACTGTTTTCAACTCCATCTAGATTCTGGCTTGGTTGAGTCCAAGAGCACATAATAGAGTGAGCCAAAATGGACTTAGTAAACATATTCTTTAGTAATAAATGGGTTGGAGCCCAGTCCCCAGTGCCCTTGCTAAGTATTAAACACCATCTGAGTTCTGCAATGAGAGCAGACTCAGACTGGAAAGAGAGAGGCACTAACAGGGAGTTGGGGTCTAGTTCCCAACTCTGCTATTAACTGAAGGCTCAGGGCAGGTCACCTCACTTCTGTGGGTCTGTTTCTTTACCTGCAAAAAGAAAAGGCTGGACTCTTATCATCTTCAAAACCTCCTTTCTTACTCTGTTTATAAAGAGACTATCAGCTCAAAAAATCTATGATTTAATAACAATGGCCAGAGTGCTGAGAACAGAAGATTTAAGGGGCAATGTCCAATGGTTATGTCCACCAAGGAAATTAATTTTATAAGGCACATTTTTAGGTACAGAAATATTCTGGAGCATAAAAACTACCAACATACTAAAATACTAAAAAGAGACACAAAATCTGCTGACTATTTCAAAGTAGGCAGAAACAAGAGTTTATAACCTTGCTTTGAGGAATAAGCACAGCTAGACTAATTCTACCACAAAAACAACTTCCAGACTACAATAATCTCTTACTATACCAGGCTTTTTCAGCTGTTAGAAAAATACCCACAGCAAATAAACAGAAAGGAGCATATGTATCTTCTTTCATTTGTTCTGGTACTAGCTGTGGGCAGCATTTCTGGCACAGCCACTTACATTCTGGATAATGATGGCAACAAAGGAACTTCTGGAAGAGGAGGGGAGGAAACTGAGAAAGAACAGGCTAGGAATTCACAGAAGGAAAGTTCTCAGGACTGAGTGTGTTTGCCCTGGCATGTTTTCCTTCCTTTTGGCAATGCTATCACCACACTAATGAACATGTCTGCAACAGGAGAATTTTCCCAACGCTTGTTTCCATTCAACCAGGAACTATTTTGAAGATATTTTAAGAAAACATTTTGAAAATTGCTTTAATGAAAACATGATTAAGTGGAAGCAAGTCATTTTTAATCTATATGATTTAAGACTTATTCACTACATTTTCTAATGATATGTTTCAGTGATTT